TATAAACGGTACATTCTGTATATTTATAGCGTCCCCATACAATGCGGCGCCCACTCGAACTAGGGCGGCGCTCTTTATATCTAGTATAAGAATTACTTTATTTTTGTCTACAAACCTTCACTACAGAACTGCACATTACCAAGGTTCTGGAGAGAGGATTAGATGAAAGGGCAATGAAATATGCTTTGAAAGGCCTGTTCCAGGAATTTACTCCTCTTAAATCGTCTTAACTCGCCCTAAATCTCCTAATAAACTGGGAGCCAAAAATTGGCCGAGATTTGCATAAAAAAACTCGCATTATCGTGCGGCGAGTTTAGGCGAGAGAGCATCTCAGAGTAGGCCTTTTAATTTAAAAGTATAATTATATTGTAATACAGTACAAGAGCAAATACGCACTAGTTTAACTTCTTTACTTTTATTAAAGAACATCAACCTACTATGGTCTTAGAATAAATGAATGCAAAATTAATGCACCAACACTGAACTTGTTAAATATATGTTGGAGTACAATTGCTAGAGTGAATAATTGTATAATTTTATTTTTATTTTTTTACCAGATACCTTGACAATAATGAATTGATCGACATTGGAAACTCTGTGTTTGATAATCTTTCTGTGCTTAAAACTTTGTAAGGAAACGTTGACGTTTTTAGAAAGAAAATATGTATTTTTATTTTGAAGATTTCGCTCATTTATCCCTGCCTCGTACCCAGGCGCTGTGTATTGTTCTACGGCTTGCGTGGGCCGCGTGATCGCGCGTGTACAAACCAAAGCGCCTGGATACGATGCAGCATTTATCCAGTGTTAGAAAATAGCAGGAAACTTAAACTAAACTAACTGTATACTGCATAGCTTTATCAGTTTTGAAGGTCCAATGAGGGCCATCTCTACTGTTACTAAACGAAGTAATCTAATCTAATTAGCTTTATTTGCTTAGTTATAGCTTTCGTACATGTAGCTTAGCTTTATGAGTTCCAAACTGATTTTTCTAAAGTTGTTTGTCCAGTGAAACTTTTAGAGGAAACCAAAGTACAGTATTAAAAACCTGGGGTGTTAGTTAATGCTGTTTTGCCAGCTGGCCTGTTCATAAGAGCCCATGCAGCAGTCACCGTGACTCTCACCTGCGATCCGTACCCCAGAGGTCATCCTATTAAACATTTAGAACTGCAAAAACAGGCTAACTGGCGGAAGTAACGAAAGACGAGGTGATGACGTATTGGATATCTTAATAGCTAGGAGGGTCCCATGCTCCCCGGAAAGTTTTGAATTTTTGAAGACCAGAATGGCCATTTCCTGCGTTTTAAGGTGACATTTGTTTTGGTTTGTTTTGCCTTTGCATCTGTATGGGTGCTTAATTTATAACTAATTTTCATATAAAGCTAGAAAACTCAAATTTAGAACTGTCCATTTTATATTTAGAACTACCTTTTTGGAAAATGGGAGGCCCTAGAATGAACCCGGCCATATGCCCTTATATATTGATGTTGTTCACATGGCTAGGTGCGATTTCATCTTGCGCTAGGTGACATCTTAGTCAAGTGGAATAAAATTATCCACGTGAACGCTTAATCATCCTAACTGATCGCGATGGACATTTTCTTGCCGATTCTGACCAGATTCTGACCTATATTAATTAGACTGAGCGGCGTAGCTGGAATCACAACAAAAGATATTTCGAAGGCACCATATTTCGTCATTTCGTTCCACCGAGGCGGAATATTAGATGGAATAAAAACAGTCAATTAAAAAACATGTAAAAATAAGTCACCCGCTCAGGTGAGCTTCCCACCCATCAGGGCTCATATGGATGGGCCTGCATTGTGATTCATATTCTAGAGCGGCTCCTAATCGAGGTTTTTCTCCATTGTACTTTTTTTAGAATATTGAAAAACAACAAACTAGGGGACGTTAGGGCATCTTGGTTGAAGGATAAAAAGAATCTGAAAATCTTGTAAGTGATTTATATGTATTATAGATCATTGTGCAGTTTTCTAATTAATGTTATTTATCTATGGATATTTTATTCACGTCTGTTTCAGAGATGTAGGAGATAACAATATTAGAGAAATTGAGCCTGGGGCATTTCGTGATCTGGAAAATTTGGTTCAGTTGTAAGTATCAATAAAATAAATTTCATAAAAATATTTATATTTATTATATTACAATGGCCAGATTTTACCAAATAAGCTCATGAGAAAACGAAAAATCTGAGAACGGATTGCACGGTAAAACGCCGTATATTTGTGTTACCTTCGTCTAAACCGGTTTTTCCTGGTTATGACGAAGCAAAAAATCCGACTTTTTAAAGTGAAAAACACACTATGGAAAACACTAGGTCAAAGCCGTCTCGAATACAATGTTACGAACACTTACAGCAACAACATATAGCACTATAAAACGACAAGAGTAAAACAAAAAAACTTGCTTTAATCAACTTACTTTGATTTCATTGCTTCTGTAGGACAGCATAGTACTTGCAAAAAATATTGTTTTTGAAATTATTTAATTAAAGAAAACAATGCAAAAATAGATTGACTGACTGCGCAATGAAATAATTGTGGGGGACTGAAACTGAAGTCGAAACCGCACGGTGATGGTATATAAGGAGATTGAAACTGAGGAAGAAGATAGCGTGGAGGGTTGTCGCGTTGATAACGCGCGAGGCATTTTTGTTTTTATTGCATCTGAAATGATTTGCCGCGTATGTTTGCAGCGCTAAATGCATGCAAATCCTTCAAAAAAGACAAGGAAACCTATTTTTGAGGTTTCTCAAATAATAAAGGTCCTATCGAATGGTTTCCATATAATCCCGCCGAGCAGTTTACTCGTTTCTCGCATTTTTCCTCGTTCTAACAATACGTTCGAAACTCGTAAAATAATCGGCCGGATTATATGTCAAACCATTCATATGATAATTATATTAATTTACTAGTCCAAAGTTAATTAAGAAAAGATGCTCTGAATAATAGAAGAAGCATGTTGTAAACTCAAGATAAATGAAAAGCATTTAAACCGAAAATTCAAGTAGGGGCATTGTAGCTATGATCCTTTTCCACTAATCTTTCAATCCTTTGTTTTTAGAGATATATCAAACAATCAACTTCAAAGTATTCCTGAAAATTTATTTCAACATCTTGTCTCATTACGTAGCGTGTAAGTTTACTCGATCGTTTTCTAGGTTGTAATATTACTTCATAATTTATCCTAACAATTTATTGATCTAGTGAACTTGTGGTAACAGAGAAGGAAAATCAGATTCATGTTTTCTTTTTTCCATAGGAAAGTTGATCACTTCACTCTGTGCTGTTATGCAAAGCAAAGCAACCCAAGTGTTACGTGTATTTCCAAAGTTGACAATGGCTTTTCAAGTTGTGATGAACTTTTAAAGAACACCGTTCTAAAATATTCCATCTGGATTCTAGGAATCATGGCTTTTGCTGGCAATCTTATAGTAATAATATGGCGATCTATTGCAAAAGACGCAAACAGAATCAATTCATTTCTTTTGACCAATCTTGCTGTTGCTGATTTCCTAATGGGAGTGTACATGTTGATTATCGCTTATAAAGATACTTTATGGGACGGAGTTTACTTTAAACACGATGTTGCTTGGCGTGCTAGTGATCTGTGTATATTCGCTGGAGTGATTTCAACCGTCTCCAGTGAGGTTTCGGTATTAACTCTAACGGTAATCACACTTGATCGTTTGATCTGTATTGTCTTCGTTTTTCGATTCCAGCGCTGGACAATGAAGAAAGTTTCAGCGATCATGTGCGTGGTTTGGATACTTGGATTTGGTATATCCCTAGCACCACTGTTCTACGACGATTACTTTCACGACTATGAAAATAATGTGCACTTCTTCGGTCGCTCCGCCGTGTGTCTACCGCTGCAACTATCGAGCGATCGACCCTCTGGTTGGCAGTATTCCGTGTTTGTCTTCCTTGTTTTGAACGCTGTCTCATTCTTGTTCATACTCCTGGCATATGTGGTCATGTACCATACGATTGTCAAATCAGCTAGAGCGGTGAGAGTATTTCTATTTTGAGTAGCAATGCAGGCAAGAAGATGCATGATGTTCAATTCCAAAATTATACTGTTGACAATTATAAATTAAAGCAAGCAAATTAAACTAATTTTAAAATTCCTGAGTTCAGAATTCTATAGATATTTCACCAAATACTCAGAGATATGAAAAACTAGTTTCATGTTCATCCTGACACTGCAGATGACAACGAAAAGTTCGTTGTCCCGAGCGGGATTCGATCCCGCATCTTCGGATTTCTAGACCTCGGCTCTACTCATTGAGCAATCGAGTCAACGGGGATTGGTAAAAAATATTTAAACATTTTTTTAAAATGCATTAAAAGAATTGACGTTATTCTCCCACTCTGAGGACTGTTGGTGGACCACCATCGGCTGTACAGTATTGCTGCAGTAATAAATTTACGTGGTGTTTCCACAAACAAAACTACTATATATTTTATCGCCATGCAAACATACAAAGAATATATCTGTATTGCCTATTAATTCATCAATCAATCATCAATTACACTAATACAGAACAAATCATGACTATAGTGACTTATTTCAATACACCTTTTCCTTCTCGGCAAACAGGGATAATGCATGCAAACAGCCCCTAAGAGAAGATGTCCTTGTTCAGCCAGATGTCCGAGTTAGAGAGCTGTCCTTAGATATTAGATATTAGATGGGTGTCCATGGTAGATCAGAGTCCGCAATATAGATGATAAAATTACATTAAAATAACCAAACAAAATGAAGTAAAGTAATCAAGGCATGTTTTTACTAGAGTAAATTTAAATGCATGTAATATTGGAATTGTATTCTCCAAATCATTATATCTTCAGGTGAGATCCACAAGGATGAATCAAGATTCCACTCTTGCCAAGCGAATGATGTTTATCATCTTGACTGATTTTGCCTGTTGGTTTCCCGTCATCATTATCAGTATCTTGGCACTAACAGGAAATCTGTATGATCCAACAAAGCAGGTTTATGCATGGATAGCTGTATTTGTATTGCCTATTAATTCATCAATCAATCCCCTTCTGTATACTTTCTCAACACCGTATGTCCGTGGAAAGATTCCAACCGCAAGACAGGTTTTATCAAGAATGAGAAAACGAAATAGAGACGAAGGTATACTATTTATGAAGTTGTTTTTAAATCTTCTCTCACATATTCTCGCGCGTTACTCTATAAGACTTAACTGAACGAATGCAATACCCAAAGAAATTACATTGACCGATGATTTTAAATCTTACGAAATCTTATATAAGTTTATCTCAAACTATATTTAAATATTCATATGCGGTGTATCAAACAAAGAAAATCAAAATTTAACATTTTCATTAACATTACAAATTTAACATTTTTTAGCAATTTCCAAATTTAACAGTTCAGTATTGGATACACAGATTAATTTTTTTCATTACCATTTTTGTATCATTCTGAGCAAAAACGAGTTATTGAAATACATCTTTGCAGTACATATATAATGTACAGCTATAATATAAATAGAATATAATTCAGAAAAGGTTCTCCTTTGCAAACCTGAAACTCTAAAGCTTAAACCTTAAACTGTAAGCGTTTCAAGCATAATGGGAGCATTATTTAATCAGTTTAGAAATCATATATGCATGGGGCCCATTTCTTACAGACATGGTAAATATCTCCTTACGAGAACAATTCATTCACAAATAGTTACAATATTCAAATATCAAGCTTGAAACTTGTGCTCCTATTATGCTTTGCGCGCTCAGATTTTAAGGTTTAAGGTTTAGAGTTTAAGGTTTGCAAAAGACAACCTTTTTAGAATTGGCTGTATATATAAGAAATCAGAAACCAGTTAATCACTGATGTGTCTTGCCAAACAATAAGCCTGTAACAAAAATGACAACATTATTTAAATCTCCCTCCACCTCGCCATTCAATATTCAATTTTTTTGCCTTATCGGTAGACAATCGGAATCTGTAGAATTATCTATATTTCCGATTGACTAAAACCGATTTTGAGGAAATACGCAGCCACTTTAAAAATTATATTTGATAAAATATATTTGCTTTTTAACGAATAGTTAAATTAATGCGTGAAGCGTGCCTTAATTTATTAACGGTTATAACGATCTTTGGTTGCAGGAACATGTTACGTTAAATTGTCGTTAAAAAATCGACTTGAATTACGTCACCTTTACTCGGGCGACTTATATTATCTAATATAATATAATCAGCCAATGAGGTGTTATATATATATTTTATATTATATTTTAGTTTATATATTTTATATATTTTATTTTATATATTTTATTTTGTGTATCTTACTTTTTATTTTATTTTATATGCAGCTACCCATACACAATTTTCCAGTATTGGTTCACATGATGACAATCTCAATGCGATTGCTTCACCAATGAAAATTCCCCAGTCTCTTCGCAAGCAGGAGAAAATCAATGAGGGATACACGACAGATGCGAACGTTGCTGAATGCAGTTTTGCGGAATCAGCAACCACTGCCATGGAATATCGCATCAGACTGGTGGAGAATGTCGTAATGTTGAATGATGGAAATGTAACAATGGTAAGTAAAAGTTGGGGGATGTTCCTTTATATCTCTTCATGCCTGCCAAAATTATTGCCTGTTAAAGTTATAAAGTAGGGGCCTACTATATGTTGAATAAAAATGTAAAATTTCAAGTTCACTATTATCAGGAAGTTCGCGAAAAAGTATGTATAAAATATTTAAGCCCTCAATACTGTACGATTTTCGTAGCCCAATTTGAATTTTTAATGCTAGTACTTTTGCCAACTTTAATTAACCTTCTTTAACTGAAAACAGTCTTGAAAAATCGCACTGCACCACTTGCTTAAATGTCTTATAATACTTTTAAGGAACTTTATAATTATATTATTTATTTTGGCTAAGAGCGAACTTACAGTTTTGTATTTTAAGTTAAGACATTGTGGTATATTATAATACAGTAGGCAATATATTTTAATTCTCATGTTTTTGACTACAGCTGTTAACCCAAATTCAGAGAGCTTGTTCACTAACTTGTTTAAACTTTACGAAAATGCAAGTTCGAGGTTGTAGCAAAAACTGCCCATGAGAGCTAGAGTCAAAGTTGGCCGGTCGTCTATTATAATTTCGCTTTGGTTGCATATAGCTACATGCATGCGAGGTGATCGTGTCAAGTTTGACTCTATCAAGCAGGTGACATTTCAGTACAAGTTACTCCGGCTTTGAGCATACAACATATTTATTTACCACACCTTGTTGTTTTATTTAAATTTGTTTCTTTAGAAATCGTATGCAGTTGTTAAAGTTGGCGGGGAAGAGACGCCTTGTCTTGTTAATGTTTACAACGGTGAAAATGAAGGGTCTTGGAGAGATACAGAAAATATTCTTTCGTGGCTGTCTTTAGATGGTGGACATGAGAACATTTTGCCTTTCTTATGGAGTGCCAAAGGTGAAATTCTTATTTCAGTTAAAACACAAAGCTGGTAACGTGGATAACTGAATAATGTTGTTGCGGTATAAAAAAAATCACTGCCATACCTTATCATTTTCAGTTTCAATTGAGGTGACAACCAGGCAACCTCGTGGTAGCTAGACAACCAGGGTGGGCATATCTACTCTGCTTAAGTTTTGTCCCCCGGGCCCACTCCCATAGTCAAGGCCCCTTTTCCCTAAAATGTATGCAAAACATTGGAAGGAAGGTTTACATAAACATACCATACAAATACTTAACTGAAGACTCAGTCTATTTACAGTACAATGTATAAAGCTGTGTATCCAAAAGTCTGTTTCAGAAAATGCAAGAAATGCAGTCCTAGGGGTGGAAAAATACGAAACTTTTCTGGGGGAGAATGCCCACAGACCACCTCTTCCATACGACACCACATCAAACTTGTTGTCACCACAACCATCTGTCATTCTTCTACCTCCATTGAGGAATTCTTACAAAAGGCCCTGTAACATAACATATTCTTCCGGGACGAATATGAATGAAATGGTATGAAAAATGTTGACAGAATATAGGTTATGCTCACAATTCCCTGCGACTACTTTTCTATATATATGACTTTATTTCAGAGTCGAAAATTGCTAACGTGACCTTAATTGCTCCATATTAGGGGACAAAGTACTGGTCGAGAAACAAGACTCTTCCAACACCATGTTGGAACTGAAAGCAAACGATTGGTATGTAACTTACTAAATTTTAATAGAATACAAAACACCGGTAACTCCGAAAATGAGCATTTTAATTTTTCTAACTTTTGAATACGTTTTAGTCATCAGGAATGATGATAGGTTACCGATTACAAGGATGTTTATAGGTGAAGGTAAAAGTAATTTGATATACATACATATACAAAGAGATCATATTGATAATAATTAGTCAAATATTATGAGATCTTTTGACGCCTTAGTTCCTATCAAATTACTTTAATGTTTGCCTATAAACATCCTAGTGATGTAACCGATCATCATTCCAGGGGATGAATTATCAAAAACTAGAAAATAATAAAAAATGTTCATATTCTGTTGTTGTGCATTTGATTGGTATGAATGTATATATGTTCTATAAGTCTACTTTTCTGGCTTTCCAACATTTAGTTCAAAATGTGAAAAATATTTGGATCCATGCAAAGTCGTGCAGACCTGAAATTTTACAAGAATTTTACTTATTTCCCAATTATCCTAACAAAAAATATGACTAGCAGTACGTATTCGTGCGAGAAAATTGTTAATGATATTTTTTATAGCTGCGTGTATAAAGGTTTAACCGGTATTTCCATTGGATCATTTGGTCTTTATCCATATTTTAGTATTCCAGGTCATGGATTTTTAAAAAATGGTCATAGAAAGTCATGGAATTTTAAATTGAATAAGCTGTACGAAGCCTGAAAATAAATCGTCTTTGTTAACACATTTGTATTCTACTTTGATTTCCAGTTTGATCTGTTATGAACTTCCCTCGAAACAAACATTGGATGGATTCCTTAAGATGAACAACCATGAGATTACTGAAGAGATTGTTTACTACATTTTAAACGATCTTATTGAAGCAATTGATTATCTTTCCTCAAAACAGATTGCTCATCACGCTATTCTTCCCGAAAATATCATTCTTGTTGAATCTTCTCAAGTAAGGAGAATGGTATATTTCATATTTTTAGCTTCGAATAATTCTATAACTTGTCGTTTTTAACTGAAATGGATCAAGAATCTTTATAAAGCAATTTTTCAATAGGCTTTTGAAAACCTTTTTGTCCACATCGGATGATTGTATTGTAAGTTTCTGTCAGGGAATACGAGAAAATTGTGCTAAATAGAAAACTTCACCCAGGATTACAAGTGTGGGGTCTTAGTCTGATTTCCGTAACGTGGGGGTTTTGTCGTCCGAGATTTCAGATTTGTGAGAAGAATATGTAGTCCTAACACAAGGGTTACAATTGCACTATTGTAGTGTGTGTAAATACAATCTTGGCAAAAATTATTACAGAAATTTGCGTCAAACCTACCCCCCTCCCCACTTCTTAACGTTGAAAGCTTGTGTATTGGTTACGGTAAAGCTTTGTGAAATACAGCTTGGGAGCATCACTTTCGTTTTTCTTTAGCTTGCTTTGGAAGGGATCGTACTTGGAGGACTTCATGCAGCTAAATTGTTAACCTCTTCACCTGAGGAAAAGGAATCGAATAATGGACTCAGTGAAGAAAATCTGGAAGAACTTGAAGTTAATGTGATATCATTTGGAAATGTGATAAAAATATTACTTGACGTTTGCCCAACATTGGAAAAATTCTCTGACGTAAGTTTATAATGTTGACTTCATAATTTTTTAAACTTAGGAAGACAGGACTCACAGGAGTAATCTTCAGTCAAAACGACTTTTAGTAACAATTTTTAGTCACTTTTTCAATCGAATCTTCGAACTTATTAATAATTGATGAGCAAAACACAAAGAGGACACCAGCACAGCATCGCTACCTTGAACACCATGCTTCAATGGTCTCGACTATCGCCTTGAGTTTCTCCTCAAATACAAGTCCGTTTGAGGCTAACAACTGATGTCAATTTAAACTCGAAAGCTAGCCTTTTATAGCCGGCATATAGAAACCTCAAATTATGTGGGAAAAAACTCGTTTTTCCCTACTCACTTTTCGGTTATTTATAAGTATAATATTTCTCCTTTTTATTTTACAACATGGCGGTTTACTGCAAAAAACGTCTAGCCTGTAACAATGTCGTTGAAAACAGGCCTGAGCAATATTTTGCTGCCCATATTGTTCCTGCTTGTTAACAATATTGTTCAGCATTGTTCAGGTGTATCAACTGTCATCTCATAGAAGTCGAGAGCGAGGTTTTTAAAAATGCGCCAGGAAAATTATTGTTTTGCTACTTGCTATATCTATCGAGGAATAGATAGCGAGTATAGCGTAGCCAATCAAATTACAGCATTTGCAATAGTATACTAATATGATTCTACTAATAAAATTTAGTATTATATACTTATAGTTTGCGTACTGTCAACTTAAGTTAACGTCCATTTTAATATATATACTTAACGTCCATTTTAATATATACATGTATTAAAATGTCTCTATATTTTTTTCAAATATAGCTACATGACCTTATGGTTTCGTGTTTGAGTCATGATAGCAAACCAACCACATCGTATTTGGTGAAACAATTGGTTTTGATGGATAAGAATTATCGTCCCAGTGATACAATACTTTAGTTGACAATTTGTAAATATGTCAAAGAAACGCGGTCAGAAATAGACATAATTAATTTTGGAAAAACGTTCTCTAACCAGAATAATCTATTTATTACGAGCTTTCGGCCATCTTTCAGAAAAATTGTTAGAGACGAAGAGCGCATTGTTCCAAAAATCTTCGTGCATGCACCTTCCCGAAAATGTTCAAAATCCTACCAAAAATTTATGAAATCCCTACAATATCAAATCCCCAAACCTCCTATTAGATTAAAAAGGTCAAATTTTCGTGCAAAGTCCTAAAATCGTGCCAAACAAATTTCTGGAAAATTTCCAAGCTGGAAGTCTCACTCCCTAGAAGGGAACTGCCAGTGACTATTTTGTCAACGTGGCAATGTGGATAAATGAACATAAAATTGATTTTGAAAATGCAAAGATAATTGATAAGGGGTTCGAGTGAGGAAAACATTGGAATCTTGGCATACATAATCATTTCCAAAACAATTACGTGTTTTTCTTACTCGCAAATAATGCAGGCGCTATAACAGCCGTTTCCAATATTACTGGACCAGGCCGAAAATAGCTGACATGTCACTTTTTACACTTTTATTAGTTTTATATCACACAGTCATGAGTTTTTTGGTTCGTTTTCTTCGTATATGCTTTGTTTGCTATGTATAAAAAGTTTAATTAGAAGGTTTTTCAAGATATTCTAGGGATAATTGCTATTATAATATAGTCATTCACCGTATATAAGCTGTTCTGCAATCTGATTGGTTGAATTACTCTCCGAAAATCAGCTCATATGCGGCGAGTAGCGAAAAACAAGATGGCGGTGCAAAAAGTACATGAGTTTTGCGAAGCAGAAAAAAGTAAAATATTCGCTTTGAGAAAGATAATAGTACAAGGAAAAACTCTCAAAAAATATTGACAGGTTAGCAAATACATTCATTACATAGAAATTAGTTTAAATATACAAGTTTTTTAGAGAATTAATGCCGAAACAACAGCGAAAAAAACATGTTCATTGGACATTGAGAATATAAATTGTTCAGAAAGAGCTATCAGCTCATATACGACTCCATGGTATAATTGTTAAATATTATAAGTAAAACAAAATCATAGTATTACGGCTATAGTCTCAGCACAAGCAGATTTGATACACAGAGTTAAATTATTCTTTTCCTGATTACAGTGAGCTCTTTAAACCCCAGGGTTGAATTCAGCCCTGTTGAACTATGCTAGATTATTTTCGGGCAGGTCGCGTAATTAGTTGAAAACGAGTGATAAAGGACACTTTTCCGCAACTATTTTAGTCTTTACCAACCAGTTCCTTTAAAATCATTGTTACATGTTGTAGGCCACACGAAGATGGCCGAAAGCTCGTGACAAACAAATATTCTGGTCAAAGAACGTGTTTCCCAAATTAATTATGATAAACTTGGAGCTATATCCGCAAGAATATTAAATTCACCATATTCTTGACTAGCAGAAATAACATTTAACTATAGATATTTATTTATTACATATAATTTCGCTTTTGAATAGCATTACACATAAATAAAATATACAAAGACTTAATTTATAGTATTTACTGTATAAATATTAACTTATTTCTTGGAATGATAAAAATGCATAGTATTGGCACTTGCATAATGAATATTTATAAAATTTCAACGTTAAAAATATATTATCACGATTGACGAAGTGTGTAAAAGTGTACATTTGAGTACAGCTATTTCAATTAAGGTTGTCCCCGAGCAAAGCGGAACAGTCGAAAACGAGCGCGAAATGCTTAGTGGGAATCGCTAATAAATTCATTAATTTTTTAGTGATTCCCAGCAAACCTTTCGCGCTCGTATTCGACTTTTCCGCTTTGCTCGGGGACAACCTCAATTGAAATAGCTGTACACTAATTTATGAAATTCGAAACTTTGTAACGAACAACTTACAGTGAAAATTGTTGCAAAAGTTCGATAATACACACAAATCGTATCACATTAGATTTATTCAGTTGCTTGCAATCAATCCAAAACTTTACATGTAATATAAACTCTCCAATATAACTTTCGAAGCGAACACTCTACTTCCAACATTCTGTTTTTCTCTCTTCCTCGCGCCATATAGTTTTACGTCATAGTTTATTTTATATTTTTCTTACAATATTTTTCTTACATGAAGTATGTCCAACATAACACAACAATTTAACACATTTAATATGAATTGATATAGTTAGTGTCAAAGATCAATTTTTCTCTTTTCTGATTGGACAAAAGCGTATCACGTGTCGGTCCGCAAAACGTCGTGTTTACTGCATTGCCCTGGCAACGAATGGGTGCAGTACAATGGGTGCAGTGCGCATGCGCGTCAACCATAGGTAGGTAGGTAGGTAGGTAGGTAGGTAGGTAGGTAGGTAGGTAGGTAGGCAGGCAGGCAGGCAGGCAGGCAGGCAGGCAGGCAGGCAGGTAGGTAGGTAGGTAGGTAGGTAGATAGATAGATAGATAGATAGATAGATAGATAGATAGATAGATAGATAGATAGATAGATAAGAAAATTTTTAACTACAAAGGTCAAATTGTATTAAGACTTGCACATCGAAGGAATAAAAGTCCGCTTAAAGCGTTCATTGCGTATCATTGGAATATTGAAGACTCGCTTCTTTCTAATGTCGTAGTTTTCCTCTTGCAAAGGAGGTAGAAGATTGTGTAACTTGTGTAACTGGACGAGAATAACTTGTCGCATAACTTCATACATCTACCTTTTAAAGTAGTTAAATTAAACTTCTGCAGGTTATGTTCATATGACTGGCTATGGGAAATGATAGCCAGCGCTCTCTTTTGGACGTTTTCCAAGTCATCACACAAATATTTCGGGAGAGAATGGTGGAAAACCTGCGAGCAGTATTCCAACAGAGGTCTAATACATGTACAGAAAAAATTTCGGATGTCCGCAGGTGGTACTCTAAAACGTTTCAGTAAAATTAGGAAGAACATACGCTTGTTAGCTTTCCTAATTGTTTCACCAATATTGACGTTCCACTGGAGGTCATTTGAGAGATTCAGACCTAAGATCTTTACATGTTTTACAACACTGAGTAGGTTACCATTTACTGTCAAAGGTTCGAAAACGTGTTTGGAATGCTTGAAGTCGATGATGAGTTCTTTGCATTTCTTGGCATTTAACTGGAGTTTATTTTCAGTGGACCACTTTTCAACTGATGTAACTGCGTCTTGGACTTGACTATTTATTTCAATCTGGACAACTTCTGATATGGTTGTGTCGTCAACGAATTTCCAGCTACTAACATCTTGGATCTTTAGGTCATTAATCATAAGCAGGAACAGTCACGGTCCTATTTTGGTGCCTTGTGGGACTCCTGAAGGTACATCTCCCCATTCGGAAAAGCAGTCATGTGAAAGATTGACACGTTGTTTACGGTTCGTTAAGAAATCAGCTACCCAGCGCGCGGTGCTCCGGGGAATATTTAGGCCAAGGATCTTTTGTACCAGAATTTGGTGGTCAATTAGGTCGATCGCTTTTTTGTAGTCAAATAAGACCACTCTAACGGCGGCTCCTGTACTGTCCGTGGTTTGGGCCCAATGATGGATCATAGAGATAAGGGCGTGTACTGTCGAGGACTTCGGTATGGTTCCAAACTGGCTAGGGTCGATGATCTCGAGAACAGCAGGCGCAACGTATAATTTCACAACAAACTCCTCTGCAACTTTAGAAATAGCTGGTGTCAGGGAGATGGGTCTAAGGTGGTTATTGACATCTTCGACGGGGCTTTGTTTTGGTACTGGGATAACATCAGCTAATTTCCAGGAAAAAGGAAGACCTTCATTAGCGAAGGAACAGTTTATAACGTGGCAAATGGGATCGGAAAGTATCATGGCATATTCTTTAAGAATCCAGTTTGGGATGCCGTCAGGTCCGGATGCTTTGTGTGGTAAATTCCGCAATACAGACGAAACAGCCTCGACCGAGATTTGGGGCAGTTCAAAGTTTGATTCGAAAGGAGGAGGAGAGTCGATACTTTGATAAGTTTGCAGCGGTTCTAAAAAAGCCGTATTAATCATGGCGCCAATTTCGTGCGGTGAAAGTGAATCAATACCTGGAATTTGCAGTTGAGAACATAGAGACTCAGAGCCACAAGGTGTAGCCATTCCAGCAATACGTTTAACTGCGTTCCACCACTGGCTTGGTTTTGTTTGCTTAAGATGCTAGATCTTAGAAGCGAAGTACCTGCTTTGGAGGGTTTTCCTATTTCGATTGACAAGGTTTCGGTAATGACCATAGTTTTCCATTTCCCCGTTTGAAAAGGCTTGCTGGCGAGATTTGATTAGTTCTTTAAAGTCAGAGGTAACCCATGGGGGATCATTTACATGAAGTTTTATTCGCTTTAGAGGCATGATTGTGTCAACGCCAACGGTAATTAAATCAACAAGAAATTGTAACTTGACTTCACACTTCACAGCTTTCAACATCTTCGAGAAACGGCCAATGGATGGAACTTAGGTACCTACCAAGTTCGTATTTTCTACTTGGGCGGATGTCGCGTCTCATCAGGGTTTTCCTGCTAGAGTTGGAGTTAGGATACCGCGCTTTGGGACGAAGAAGGACACCATTGTGGTCCGAGAGACCGAAAGGAAGGATGGAGTGAACAGAATTGTGATCATAAATCTGGTACATGTTGGTGATTATGAGGTCCAAAATGTTGTTACCTCTAGTAGGGGTGTGGACTAGTTGTTTCATTTTAAATTGGGTTAAGAGGCGGCGAATCTTCAGTTGGTTAAAATCGCCAACCAGGAGAATGCCACATCCAGGGTAGAAACTTTCTACAGAGATGGGTGTTGTTGTTAAGTAACGTAACATGACTTTGTCGTCAGAACTAGGTGGGTGATATATAATACCCACGATAATACAAGGAGTACCACGAGGCAATCTTGTAAGCCTAATATGAGACCATAGCACCTCCATTTCAGGTTCTTCCAATTCAGGTATTTAAATCGTTTGCAGGGGGTTGTGGACCTGACGTATAGACACACGCCCCCTTGTGATTGGGAGATACGGTTTTTAAAGGTAAAATTACATACAGCGACAATGAGATGATCGATGATAATTGAATCGTGTAGCCATGTTTCGGTGAAGCAGGCCAGATCAGGATTCTCCTCTTGGATAACACAACGAACTTCGTCAATTTTAGGTAAAAGAGACATGGTATTCGCAAGCAATACGCTAGGACCAAAGTCATATTTCGTTGTGCAAGTACCTATTAAAGGCAACAGTTTGACATTCGTGAGATTTGCAGTGTTCGCTTGCTTAGTACTATGTTGGAGTTTGGTAACATTTCTGTTGGTAATTCTCACAGGAATGGGACAACTTAGTACTGTAGATGGTCGGTTGAACTCCAAATATATAGACTCATTATTTAAACAATTAGTAGTTGCATGGGCCAAAAGGGTTAGGGTTTGGATAAGTGTTAGAGGTATACAGGAAAGAGGTCTCACAATTCAATGTACGGGAGGTTTTGTCATTATTGACATGAGTGGTGGGGATCTTGTCAGTGGGGGCATATGTGGAGGTACATACGGGTACGGAAACGGCTGAGACAGGGGATAAAACCATGGGAAACGAATCGGGGAAAAATAATTTGGGTCGTACGGAAAAGGAAAAGGAAATTTCCAAAGTTCATTTTATTAAACTTTATTTAATAAACATTAACGGTGTTTCATTTATCTAGTTTTAGTTGCAAAGTTCACTCCAGTAACCGGCGAATTCAGTACTCATACTCTGACACTTATATACTATATAACAAAACACTTATTTACTGAGAGCCCGGGAAAGCAGTGTGTTTTGTGGTCCCTCAACCGCACACTGTTTCCCTCGGTCTCAGTGAATAAGTGATAATTACGTGACACTTAATTTATTTTTTCACTCCGGATCAATCGCCGCTGATCTCTTTACTCATCTTGACTTTCTAACATCCTTCATGTTTTCATCCCTCTCTTTCACTTTCTTTTCCTGATCTTAACTGATTTATACTAGGTTTCCCTTCTTTAATCGTGCTTACCTTTGCTCCACGCACAATCCCATCACGACTAGAAATGTGCCAATCCAATCCGAAACCAATTCGATTCGTTCGGATTTCGGCGCCATAATATTCACATCGGAGCTGGTTGGAAAAGTATTTTCATAGTCGCATCGGATCGGACTTCGATTACCAGGTCTGCTATGAAAACTAAAGGCTTATTGCGCTTCCGTTTAATAATTTTCCCTTTTATTTATTTCTCATTGTCTATTGTTTAACCCTATTTGTAAAAAAACAAAATATCTGAGTTCTTTTGAAGCGAGATTGCAAATTAGCTTCTGCAAAGACGAGAGTCTAGAATCAAGAAATTAAAAATTTGACATCGATTTACAGTTATACACTTGATTGGAACGTTTTTCGGATCGGAACGCGTTAACGCAAACTCGGATCGGGTTAGATTCGGATCAGACAATTTCGGATCTGATTCGGATTTCAAAAAATTATCAATTGTCGAATTGTAAACCTCCAATCCGATCCAATGCACAACTCTAGTTAAGACCAACCACTAACCTTTCTCGCATGAACCGAAAACCTTCCGTAAACATCTCTTTATCC